GCCTCTGCCCAGGATAGTCCTCGCCAGCGGCCTCTATGATGTACTCGTCGGGCGCCATGCTGGGGAGCCCGCCTTTCTCATCACCCCTGGCACGAACCGTCGCCCGGGTCGCCACCGCAATCCTCCACCTCCGTCCGAATCCTCAGCCATTCAAGCACTCCTCTTCCGCCTGCTCCTCCTCATCCTCCTCCTCCTCATCCTCCTCCTCCTCCACCCTTGCTCCTTCTAAACCACTCCTCCCTGTCGAACCCCCCTGCCGTGTCGGCTGGGCGGGCCGGGCGTGTCGCCTGAGATTTATTCACCTTTGGGGGTCCTGAAGCATGAAATTTACACTTGCACGGGCGGAGGACGGCCCGTTTTCAGAACGTGTGTCTCGACATAGCGCCGCGTGTACTAGTGTTACATTGCTTTCGGGACAAATTCAGGCAGAGAGCGGGCCGTTTTCGAAACGTGGCTCTCCCCGGTGCCCCCCCCCGCACTCGCCGCAACAGGAGTACGCAGCTGTGGCACGGATTGAGGGCGGGCCGTTTCCAAGCTGTGGCTCTCGCCTCAGCGCCACGCACACTCGTCTCGAATGCCCGCAGCAGTGTCACAGACTCGCACGGCTGAAGGCCCAGGAACGGTGTCCTGACACGATCTAGGATTGTCAGGACGCAACAGTCACTTTGCCTCGCGATGCTGGCGTCTCTGGGATAGATTGGGACTGTTCGCGCGCATCAGGCACATTGATTTGCAGCGCTGAGGTCCCAGGGGTATCAGGAATTGCGTTTGGCACGATTGACACTTCACTGCGGGCTGTCGTCCAACATCGCTTGTTGCAACATCGCTGAAGCGTCGTAGGTTTACACTGGTCCTCCTCCTCCTCCTCCTCTTCCTCGCCCTCCTCCTGGCTAAAAAGAAAAAGACTGGAAGAGGAGGAGGAGGAGAGAGGAGGAGAGGAAGACAGAGGGAGAGGAACAGATGGTGATTGCCCGCCGACCGCGCCATGGGGCAGCACCGCGCGGCAGCTAAGAAAAGACGTCCTCAGCACGAAATGCTCCCCCGACTCGTCGACGAAGGTGAGCGCAAGCCTGGAGCCCGCTTCTTGTCTGGGGCTCCAGGCGCGCCACGCCCTCCCCAATGATGCCTCTGCCCCCCCCCCTCATCGACCTCCTCCCTCCTCCCTCGTTCTGGGGGACCTCGTCCGCTATCGACCTGATTATGCTGGTCTTCCTCGTCATACTCCTCTTACTCTCTCTCTCTCTCTCGTTCTCTCCTCCTGCTCCTCCTCTCCCTCCTCCTCCTCCTCCTCATCCTCATCCTCCTCCTCCTTCTCCGCAGTATCCTCCTCCTCCTCGTGCTCATCCTGATCTCGCTCTCTGTCTCGTTCTCTCTATCTCACTCTCTCTCTCTCTCGTTATATTTATTTGTTTCTCTCTCTCTCTCTCTCTCTCATTATTTGTTTATCTCTCTCTCGATATATATATATATATATATACATACATACATATATATATATATATGAGCACATATGTATATACATATATATATATATGTTTATATTCCTCTGTCTCTCTCTCTCTCCCTCTCTCTCTTTCTCTCCCTCTGTCTCTCCCTCTATCGGAGGTTTGGGGGTGAGATCGCAGTGAAACGGAGACCCCCCCCCCCGGGAAATCAGTTTCGGTTTCGTGTTCGTGTCGCGCGTGCGGGCGAGGCGAAGCTGCGCGTGATCCTCCTGTAGCTAGGCCGAAGTAAGAGCGAAAGTCCGTCCCCGTCCGCCCGTGGCTAGGAGGTGTCCCAATTGGGCCGGGCGGGTGTCCCCTCGCGGGCCCGCGGCAGACGCGGCGCACTGCGGCCGACGCGGCGGGGGCCCCTTCCGACGCAGGGCCGCCCGGGGGGGGTGATCCGCCAGGCCGCCCGACGCCCGGCTGCCCACGGGACACCTCCTCCTCCTCCTCCTCATCATCCTCCGCCTCCTCCTCTCCTCCTCCTCCTCCTCCTCCTCCTCCTCCTCCTCCTCCTCCTCCTCCTCCTCCTCCTCCTCCTCTCCTCCTCTCCTCTCCTCCTCCTCCTCCTCCTCCTCCTCCTCCTCCTCCTCCTCCTCCTCCCTCCTCCTCCTCCTCCTCCTCCTCCTCTCCTCATCCCTCATCCTCATCCTCATCCTCATCCTCATCCTCATCCTCATCCTCCGCCGCCTCCTCCTCCTCCTCCTCCTCCTCCTCCTCCTCCTCCTCCTCTGCGTCGGTACTGCGTCGAACGTCCATCGACTTGAGCCGAACGTGAGCCGAACGTGAGTCGAGCTTGAGTCGAGCTCGAGCCGGAGTGGAGTCGACCGGATCTCTCAGGTGGGCCGCAGGAGAGGCCCCTTGAACAAGCATCTGCCGGGGGAGTGAGGGGAGGCGCCCGCAACCCGTGAGCGCCGAGGCCTCTTGCGCAAAGCTCGCCCTCGGCCCCTCGCGGGCCGACACCTCGCCGGCGGCAGCGCAAGGAACCCTTCGGCGCTGGTGTGCCGTCCAAAGCCCGCCCGGCCGCGCCAGGGCCCGCGGGGGCAGGCGAAGAAAGCGCCAGCTCCGAGAAGGCGGCGGGGCGCGCCGTGCTGCGGCCTGCCGGGCACTCCTGCCACAGGTCGGTCCCCTAATGTCCACGGCCTCCTCCTCCTCCCTCTTCCTCCCTTCTCCCTCATCCCTGCCCCCCCCCCCATCGCCCCTCCCTGGCCCTCCCCTCTGCCCGCTCCATCTTCCCCGTCGTTCCTCCTCCTCCCCAGGAGGACGCAGGACGACGACGAGGAGCCCTTCCTGATCCGCCTCTTCCATCAGACAGAAAGCGACGAGAACGGACGACGAAGAGGGTGGCGACGACGAGGAGAGCCAGGGCAGCTTGCTTAAGTCGTTCAAGGGCGGGCACTGACACTCCAGGATGTCCTGTGGGCCCGACGCCGTCGTCGTCGTCGACGACGTCGTCCTCCTCCTCCTCCTACTTCTCCTCCTCCTCCTCCTCCTCCTCCTCCTCCTCCTCCTCCTCCTCCTCCACTCGCTTCCTTCCCGCCCTTTTCCATCCTGCCCATCTGCTCCTTCAGGTTCCGTGGCTCAGGCTTGCTGTTCCATGCTCCAGTTCCACTTGTCAGTCTCCGATGTTACAATTCTGTGTTTTGATTTCTACTGTGAACTGTTAAACCCCCGCGAGAGGGGGAGCCAAAAACCGTCCTGGTTACCTTTACGTGGGGGGGTCTCAAAATCTTTGAAGGATCCTGAGACAGGAAAAAATATGTGATATTCGCGCCCCTGTAACCATACTCCCTCGTAAACTACGCGGTGCTCGCGCCCCCGAAGCAATGATCCTTCGCAGATTGCACAATTGTCGCCTCCCCGAGGCCATGAACCCTGGCAAATTACAACGTTCACGCTCACGATTCCACGGCCAGGGGACCGTCGGAAAGGTGGCCCGGGGTGGGAGGGGGGCGTCCGAGAGGGGTCCTGGTATTTTCGGGGGGAAGCGGGGGGAGGGGAGACCAACATTCAAGGGGGGGGTCCATAAAGGACGTATGAATATAGGAATGCATACATACACATATGCAGACATGCATGCATGCATGCATGCATACATAGATGCATACATATATATACATGTGTATATATACATATATATACATATATATAGGTCCCTGAACCCACCATGAACCCTTCTTTCCCCCTGGAACTTCCAAGAGGAAAGAAAGGTTGGTGGGTCGTCGTGCTGGAGCGCGCGCGCGTGCACAAGAGGAAGATGACAAAGAGACGGAGGGAGGGTGAGTATCGGGAGGGTGTGTTGGAGACGGGTGGAGTGGAGTGTACGAAAGTTGTGGAGTGGACGGAGGCTATGGAGTAGAAGGATATCTAAAAGTTCAGCTTGGGGAGGGAGCCTGTTGAATATCGGGAGGGTGTGTTGGAGACGGGTGGAGTGGAGTATACGGAAGGTGTGGAGTGGACGGAGGCTGTGGAGTAGAAGGATATTTTCAAGTTCTGCTTGGGGAGGGAGCCTGTTGAGTATCGGGAGGGTGTGTTGGAGAGGGGTGGAGTGGAGTATACGGAAGGTGTGGAGTGGACGGAGGCTGTGGAGTAGAAGGATATTTTCAAGTTCTGCTTGGGGAGGGAGCCTGTTGAATATCGGGAGGGTGTGTTGGAGACGGGTGGAGTGGAGTATACGGAAGGTGTGGAGTGGACGGAGGCTGTGGAGTAGAAGGACATTTTCAAGTTCAGCTTGGGGAGGGAGCCTGTTGAATATCGGGAGGGTGTGTTGGAGACGGGTGGAGTGGAGTATACGGAAGGTGCGGAGTGGACGGAGGGTGTGGAGTAGAAGGATATTTAAAAGTTCAGCTTGGGGAGGGAGCCTGTTGAGTACCGGAGGGTGTGTTGGAGACGGGTGGAGTAGAGTATACGGAAGGTGTGGAGTGGACGGAGGCTGTGGAGTAGAAGGACATTTTCAAGTTCAGCTTGGGGAGGGAGCCTGTTGAGTATCGGGAGGGTGTGTTGGAGACGGGTGGAGTGGAGTATACGGAAGGTGTGGAGTGGAACGGAGGCTGTGGAGTTAGTAAGGATATTTTCAAGTTCGGCTGGGGAGGAGCTGTTTTGAATATCGGAGGGTGTATGGAGACGGGTGGAATGGCTAACGGAAGGTTTGGAGTGTACGGAGCTGTTGAGTAAGAAGTGGATATTTTCAAGACAGCGTGGGGAGGGAGCCTGTTGATACGGAGGGTGTGGGGCGACGGTGGGAGTGAGTGAATACGGAAGTTGTGAGTGACGGAGGCTGTGGAGAAGATGATATTTTCAAGATCAGTCTTGGGAGGGAGCCTTGGGGGGGGGGGTTTTTTTTTTTTGTTTTTTTTTTTTTTGAAATTTTCAAACCGGAGGGTGTTTTGGAGACGGGTGGAGTTGAGTGTACGGAAGTTGTGGAGTGGACGGAGGCTGTGGAGTAGAAGGAGATTTTCAAGTTCAGCTTGGGGAGGGAGCCTGTTGAGTACCGGAGGGTGTGTTGGAGACGGGTGGAGTGGAGTATACGGAAGGTGTGGAGTGGACGGAGGTTGTGGAGTAGAAGGATATTTTCAAGTTCAGTTTGGGGAGGGAGCCTGTTAAGTACCGGAGGGTGTTTTGGAGACGGGTGGAGTGGAGTGTACGGAAGTTGTGGAGTGGGTGGAGTAGAAGGATATTTTCAAGTTCAGCTTGGGGAGGGAGCCTGTTGAGTACCAGAGGGTGTGTTGGAGACGGGTGGAGTGGAGTATACGGAAAGTGTGGAGTGGACGGAGGTTGTGGAGTAGAAGGATATTTTCAAGTTCAGTTTGGGGAGGGAGCCTGTTGAGTATCGGAGGGTGTTTGTTCGGAGGGTGTTTTGGAGACGGGTGGAGTGGAGTGTACGGAAGTTGTGGAGTGGGTGGAGTAGAAGGATATTTTCAAGTTCAGCTTGGGGAGGGAGCCTGTTGAGTACCAGAGGGTGTGTTGGAGACGGGTGGAGTGGAGTATACGGAAAGTGTGGAGTGGACGGAGGTTGTGGAGTAGAAGGATATTTTCAAGTTCAGTTTGGGGAGGGAGCCTGTTGAGTATCGGGTGGAACACATAGTCCGATAGTTTGGCCGAGGCACGCTGGAGAGCACGAGCACCGCCGGGGCATCCTGGGATGCGGGAGAAAAGCGAGACTGACACCTTGACCCAAAACGGCTTCGGATGAATGAGTACATGATGAGTACACATGATGATGATGATGATGATGATGATGATGATGATGATGATGATGATGTTGATGATGATGAATGATGATGATGATGATGATGATGATGATGATGATGATGATGATGATGATGATGATGATGACGATGATGATGATGATGACGGGGGAACGGCCTTGTGGGGGGCTTCTGGGGGGGTCCCGCCGGGGCTCTCCGAAAATGCACGGAAACTATAGGAATTCATATAGTTTTTGAGGAATGAAGGGTTCATGGTGGGTTCAGCGGGCTATATATATACATACATGCGTACATACATACAAGCATCAATACATACATACACACCAACATACAGGAACACAGTCAGGCAGACAGACAGACAGAAAGACCGACTGACATCCATCCATCCATGCATGCATGCAGACATGCATACACATATATACATATATATATGTATATATGTATGTGTATGTGTATATACACATACACATACATGCGTACCTACATACCTACATACATGCAGACAAACGTACGTACGTACGTAAATTCATGCATCCATACATGCCTGTATACATACATACAAGCATGCGTACATACACACAGGTAGACAGACAGACAGACAGACAGGCAGGCAGGCAGGCAGGCAGGCATAAACACATACAATCATATATATATATATGCGTTACATACATTACATCCGTTACATACGTACATGTACGCATGAATACATGTATGCATGCATGCCTACAAGTATACACATGTGCGTGCATGCATGCATGCATACATACATACATACGCGCATACATGCGTCCGTGCATATGCATACATAACTACATGCATACGTGTTCACACATGAATGTATACATGCATGACTGCATGCACGCATGCATGCATATACACACACATACGCACAGGCATGCATACTGTCACCCATGCATACATGCATACATGCATGCAAGCATGCATACATGCATGCATGCATGAATACGTACATACATGCATCCATACATACACACAAGTACATGCATGCATCCATACATTCAGGCATACAAGCATGCGCACATGCATACACACATACATGCATGCATGCATACCAGGCGTCCTACCTACCTGTCGACATACATACAGGCATACCGACAGACCTACATACATACATGCACCTGTACGTAGATTCATACACGCATGCATGCGTGCACGTGTACATGCATACATGCATGCATAGATACATACATACATGCCACCAAACTCATGCATGCATACAGGCATGCATACATGCGTACCTGCATGCGTGCAGGCATGCGGGCATATAGACATGTATACATACATACAGTCATCCATGTGTGCATGAGCCCATGTATGTACAAATGCACGCAAGCATGCATGCATACATACAGTTATGCACAAGTGTACACATATACATGCCTGCACACGTCCGTGTATACATGCATATATAGATGCGTTCATGCATCTATACATGCATACCTGCATTCATGCACACATGCATTCATGCATACATTCGTATATGCAATCACACATACACACGCATACACACATACAGGCATGCGTGCATACACGCATGGATGCATGCGTGCATATATACATATATATAAACATATATATTTGTGTATCGCTTGTAACCAGAACGGCATGCGTGCATATATACATGTATATGTGTGCATACATACAGTACGCACATGCACACATGTATGCAAACATGATTATGCTTGTACATACAGCTGTACATACACACGTACAGACATGCATGCATGCATGCATGCATGCAACAATACATGCCCACACATAAGTACAGACAGAAATACCTACGTACACACATCCATACTTACATACATACACACATGCAGCCAACGAGCCAGCCAACCTACCAGGCAGACAGACAGACCGACCGACAGACAGGCAGACAGACATACGTGTGCATGCACTACCTATGTAGATGTACAGCTGTATGACCCCCGCCTCTGAACACGTGCGCTGAAGGGGAATGGCCTGAATGGCGCGGGCGTGCCGCCCACAAGGCTCCCTCTCAGCCGGCGCGCCCGTGGTGCGGGGTCCTCCTCGTCGTTGTGGCGGCAGGAGCCCATGCGCCAGGCAAGCTCAGGCACGAGCCTGTCGTAGATGCCTCTCGGGCGTCTGGGGTGGGGACATTACTCAGGGTAGGAACATCGACCAGGACTTCGTCGACACATCCCCGATCGATCGGCGGTAGGCCCCCGAGAGCAGATCCGAACGCTCCTGGGCGTGAGGGCAGGAACCTATCGGCCCCCTATCGGCGAGCAATGCGCGATCGGAGGCCAGCGCGTTTCCCCCCGACCCGTCGTTGCCCCTGAGGAGGGAGGATCGAACCCGCTCGGCCGGCAGGCGCGTTTAGGACCTCACCGCCCAGTTACCTCTCCATCCTGCCTCCTGCATCCTGCCTCCTGTCTCAACTCCCTTCCCTCCTCCCTCCTCCTGACTCTCTCCTCCCTCCTCCCTCCTCCCTTCTGCCTCACCCCTCCTGCCTCCACCCGCCTCCACCTGCCTCCTGCCTCATGCCTCATCGCTCCTCCCTCCTCCCCCCTCCTGCCGCATGCGTCCTGCCTCCTCCCTCCTCCCCCTACCTCTCTCCCTCCTCCCACCTCCCTCCTCCCTCCTTCCTCCTGCATCCTGCCTCCTGCCTCCTGCCGCCTGCCTCCTCCCTCATGCCTCCTGCCTCCTGCCTCCCCCTTCCTCCCCCCTCCCTCACCCTCCTCCCCCGTCCCTCCTCCCTTCTCCTTCCTCACCCGTCCCTCCTCCTTTCTGCCTCATCCCGCCTCCCTCCACATGCCTCCACATGCACCCTGCCTCATGCCTCTTCGCTCCTCCCTCCTCCCGTCTCTCTGCTCCCTCCGTCATCCTGCCTCCTGCGTCTTTTATCCTCCCTCATGCCCCATCCATGTCTCTCTCTCTCTCTCTCTATCTCTCTCTCTCTCTCTCTCTCTTTCCTCATCCCCCCTCCATCCTTCCTCCTGCCTCATGTCTCCTGCCTTTCCCTTATTCCCTCCTCCATCATGCATCCTCCCTCATATCTCCTCCTTTCTGCCTCCCACCTCCTGCCTCCTCCCTCATGCCTCCTGCCTCCTGCCTCCTGCCTCCCTCCTCCTGCCTCCTCTATCCTCCCTCATCCCTCACCCCTCCTCCTGAATCCCTCCTCCCTCCTCCTTCATCCATCCATCCTCCATCCACCCCCCTTTTCCCCTCCCCCCAATCCCCATCCCTCCTTCCTTCTCCCTGCTGCCTCCACCCCCTCTCCCTCCTCCCTCCTCCTCCTCGCCCGTCCATCCTCCCCCTCCATCCCCCATCCTTTTTCCTGCCTCCTGCCTCCTGCCTCCTGCCTTCCTCCCTCCTCCCTCCGCCCCCCTCCCTCCTGCCTCCCCCTCCTCCTTCTCCCTCCCTCCTCCCTCCTCTCTATCCCTCCTGCCTTCTGCAGCCTCCTTCCTCCCCCTCCCTCCTCTCTCTTGCGTCTTCCTCTCTCCTCCCTCGTGCCTCCTCCCTCCTCTCTCCTGCTTCCCCTCTCCTCTCTCCTCCTTCCTTCCCCCCCCGCCCTCCATCCTCCTTCCTGGTTCATGCCCCGTGCCTCCTGCCTCATCCCTCCTGCCACCAGCTCCCATCCTCCCTCCTCGTTCCCCCCTCGTCCCGCCTCCTTCCTCCCGCCTCCCTCCCCCTCCTCCCTCGTCCGTCCTCCCTCTTCCCCCGTCCCTCCTGCCTCCTCCCTTCTTCCGCCTCCCCCCTCTGGCGTCCCTCGTCCCTCTTCCTTCGCCCCCCTCCTCCTGTCTCCTGCCGCCTGCTGCCTCACCCCTCCCTCATCCCTCCTCACTCTTCCCGCCGCTCTCTCCCTCCTCCTCCTCCGCCTCCTCCTCCTCCTCCTCCTCCTGCTCCTGCTTCCCCTCATCTTCCTCCTCCTGCGCAAGACATCGGAGAGGACGTCTTCTCGCAGCGAGAGCGGTCGAAGACATAACGCGATCTCGACTGCAGGAGGAAGGCAGATCGGGCGCCTGCGCTCACCACGATGAGGGAGGTGCCGGAGTCCACCAGGGTGGGCATGCCCATGACGAGGGTCGGGTCCATTCCACCTGGGAGCCCCTCGATACGGACAAACAAGATGGCGACGCATCGCCGACACAGCCGCCAAGCACCCTGCGACGTCGGGATGGAGAAGAGCTAGCCCGAATGCATCCATATCCACCGCCTGCCGAGGCCCCATGAGATCCATCCCCCAGGCGGTGATTCTGGATCAACACGCGCACCTCTCCTCACAACATGTGTTTAGTGCCCACGTGCGCCTGTCCACCGATGCCCTTCACTACGACGCGGGCGCCATTATGTGAAGGCCGACGCAGGCTGCGTGCCATCGGCAAAGCCGAGCGGGATAGCACACGATGGGCCGACACGCGCCCTGAGGGTCATCGAGCCTCGGCGGGGGCCAGCTCGAGCCAACTTCGCCTCCCCCGGAGGCACGACGCCCGGAGGGGGAGGGGGGTCTGTTGCGCTCTGGGCACGCGGGACCCTGCTCACGGCGGAGGCCGACGGTGGGGCCGTGGGCGCGGCGGAGGCCCCGTGCCCTCTCTCTCTCTCTCTCTCTCTCTCTTTCTCTCTCTCTCTCTCTCTCTCTCTCTCTCTGCATCTCTGTTTCTCGCTCTCTCTCGCCCTCTCCCTTGCTGCCTCTGTCTGTCCCGATGGTGTGCGTGTGCGTGTGCGTGTGCGTGTGCGTGTGCGTGTCTGTGTTTGCGTGTGTGCGTGTTTGCGTGCGTGCGTGTTTGCGTGTGTGCGCGTGTGCGTGTTGCGTGTGTGCGTGCTTGCGTGTGTGCGTGTTTGCGTGTGTGCATGTTTGTGTGGTTGAGTGTTTGTGTGTTTGTGTGCTTGTGTGCTTGTGTGCTTGTGCGTTCGTGTGGTTGTGTGTTCGTGTGTTCGTGTGTGTTTGTGTTTGTGTGTTTGTGTGTGTGTTTGTGTGCGTGTGTGTTTGTGTGTGTGGTTGTGTGGTTGTGTGCTTGTTTGTGTGTGGTTGTGTGTGTGTTTGTGTGTGTGGGTGCGTGTGTGTGTGTGTGTGTTTGTGTTTGAGTGTTCGTGTGTGAGTTTGTGTGTTCGTGTGGGTGTGTTTGTGTGTGTGTGTTTGTGTGTGTGTTTGTGTGTTGTGCGGTTGTGTGTGATTGTGTGTGTGTTTGTGTGCGTGTGCGTGGTTGTTTGTTTGTGTGTTTGTGTGTGTGTTTGTGTGTTTGTGTGCGTGTGTGGTTGTGTGTGTGTTTGCGTGCGTTTGCGTGCGTTTTTGTGTGTTTGTGTGTGTTTGTGTGTGTGTGTTTGTGTGTGTGTTTGTGTGTGCGGTTGTGTGTGTGTTTGTGTATGGTTGCGTCCTTGTGTGTGTGTGTTTGTGTGTGGTTGTGTGTGTTTGTGTGGTTGTATGCGTGTGCGTGTGCGTGGTTGTGTTTGCGTGTGCGCGTGTTTGCGTGCGTGCGTGTTTGCGCGTGTGCGAGTTTGCGTGGTTGCGTGTTTGCGTGTTTGCGTGCTTGCGTGTTTGTGTGGTTGCGTGTTTGTGTGTGTGGTTGTTAGTTCATGTGTCTGTGTGTTCGTGTGTTTGTGTGTTTGTGTGGTTGTGTGTGTTTCTGTTTGTGTGCTTGTGTGCTTGTGTGTTTGTGTGCTTGTGTGGCTGTGTGTTTGTGTGCTTGTGTGTTTGTGTGGTTGTGTGTTTGTGTGTTTGTGTGGTTGTGTGTGCGTGTGTGTATGGTTGCGTATGTGGTTGTGCGTTTGTGTGTGTGGTTGTGTGTGTGTGAGTTTGTGTGTTGGTGTGTGGTTGTGTGGTTGTGTGTTTGTGTGTGGTTGTGGGTGTGTGTGTGTTTGTGTGTGTTCGTGTGCGGTTGTGTGTGAATGCTGTGTGCAAGTGCTTGTAAGTCTTTGTTTGTGTGTGTTTGTGTGTGGTTGTGTGTGTTTGTGTGTGTGCTTGTGTGCGTGTGTTTGTGTTTGTGTGTGGACGTGTGTGTGTCTGGTTGTGTGTGTTTGTGTGTGTGCTTGTACGTGGTTGCGAGAGGTTGTGTGTGTGGCTTTGTGTTTGTGTGTTTGTGTGTTTGTGTGTGGTTGTGTGTGTTTGTGTGTGTGTTTGTGTGTTTGTGTGCGCTTGTGTGTGCTTGTGTGTGCTTTTGTGTGTTTGTGTGTGTGTGCTTGTGTATTTGTGTGCGTGTGCGTGTGCGTGTTTGTGCTTGCGTGCTTGCGTGCTTGCGTGTGTGCGTGTGTGCGTGTGTGCGTGTTTGCGTGTTCGCGTGCTTGCGTGTTTGCGTGCTTGCGTGCTTGCGTGTGTGCGTGTTCGTGTGTTGTTTGTGTGTGGTTGTGTGTGGTTGTGTGTTTGTATGTTTGCGTGTGTGCGTGTGTGCGTGTTTGTGTGTGTGCGTGCTTGCGCGTTTGCGTGTTTGTGTGTTTGTGTGTTTGTGTGTTTGTGTGTTTGCGTGTGTGCGCGTGTGCGTGTGCTTGTGTTTGTGTGCTTGTGTGTTTGTGTGCTTGTGTGTTTGTGTGCGTGTGTGTGTGTGTTTGTGTGTTCGTGTGTTCGTGTGTTTGTGTGTTTGTGTGTTTGTGTGTTTGTGTGATTGTGTCTTTGTGTGCTTGTGTGTCTGTGTGTTCTGTGTTTGTGTGTTGTGTGTGTTTGTGTGTGTTTGTGTGTGGGTGTGTGTGGGTTGTGTGTGTTTGTGTGGTTGCGTGTGTTTGTGTGTTTGTGTGTTTGCTTGTGTGCGTGTTTGTGTGCTTTTGTGTGTTTGTGTGTGTTTGTGTGTGTTTGTGTGTTTGTGTGTTTGCGTGTGTGTTTGTGTGTTTGTGTGTGGTTGTGTGTGTTTGTGTGTGTTTGTGTGTGAGTGTTTGTGTGTTTGTGTGTGTGGTTGTGTTCGTGTGTGTGTTCGTGTGTGTGCTTGGGTGTGTGTGTGTTTGTGTGTGTTTGCGTGTGTTTGTGTGTGTTTGTGTGTGTTTGTGTGTGTGTGTGTCTGTGTGTGTGTCTCTCTGTCTCGGCCGCGGCTCGAGCGCAGCCCCAGACCTCAGCTGCCCCTGCTCGATCCCAGGTGGGGGCGCTGCCTCCCCAGACGCCCCATCTCTGGCGCTCGCCGCCGCTTGGACGCCCCTTCCCCGTGCACCCGTCGACGTCGCGCGTGCATTTTTGTTTGTCGCAAGACGATCCAGGGTGCTCCTCGATGGCCTTCGCCCCCCCACCCAGAAAAAAATGACCACGTCCGAGCGATGCCGAGAACGCTACGGCTTCTGCTCCGAACACTGACGGCGGCAGCTCCATCAGCGAAGTGCCCGGCGCACGACCGACGGCGCGCGCGCCGCGGTGGGCCCCGCCCCCCGTGCGACCTCGGCCACACGCCAGGCGCGACCGCGGGCAACAGTGACCTCCGGTGCACGCCTGGCCGACCGCTGCGTGCGCTTCGACGGCGGCGGCCGTCGCGCGCTCGGGCCGGGCCTCTCCCGCTGCCCCCCGGGAGCCGCGCGCCAGGGGTCCCTCCGCCGCAAGGCCACTCCGCCGCGCGTCCGACGACGGTCCGGGGAACCCGAGCGCCCTGGCTGCCTCGCGCGGGACGGGGGGCGAGGAACGACGGAGAGGGGGATGGGGGGTCCGCGAACAAGAGTGCAGCAACGTCAAGAACTCTCGCCTCCTCCCTCCCTTCTTCGGCACTTCACTGGCTGGACCAACCCGTGAGGGCCCACAGGGCCCCAGACGGGGCGAAAACGCAGGTCGTAATTTTGCGCACGACGCCCTGATCCGAGGGTCGCCCCGTCCACCCCCCGCGTCCTTCCCTGTGCCAGGCGAGGGGGGACGGAGACAGGGGGGGGGGAAAGGAGAGTGGCGAATGTAACGATCGGCCGCCCAGGCTTTACCCATGCCTCTGCCAGCGCTCCAACTCCACGAGGGGCCCGAAGGGGATGGGGTAAAGCCTGTCCTCTCCGAGAGCCATGCCTCTGCTCACGATGGCTGGCGGCAGCAGGGGGCATGGGCCAAGAACCGGCCGCCGAGGCGGCGGGTCTCTTGCCACCCGACGCGTTGTATGCGATCACGTCGGTGCCGGTCCACCCGATCGACCACATGCCGGCGAGCCAGGTTCGGCTCCTGCGGGGACGGGAGCTGGGCCAGGCAGCACGGCGACGACGCTGCTATGGGGTCGTCCGATGCCGCCCCTCCGAGCCTGGAGACATGAACGGAGAAACTCGGATGCATCCGCGCTGAGCTCATCGTCGTCTTCTTTTTCCTCCTCCCCCTGCGCCCATCAACCTGCTTCCCTCCCCTCTTCCTTCCCTGCGCCCCACCCTCCATCGTGACACGCGGCAGTGCTACACGATGACGGATGGCATCGGGCAAGTATTTCTGGATCCACCGGGGGTGGATAGCGTCTGGAAGGTAGATTGGGATGACGAGGCTGCAACGTCTTGGGAAAAAAAACACGCCACGTGTGACCAATCTTCTGCTGCTGTCCAGGTCAACCGAAAACCCTGATGGCTGTTCATCCGCCACCGTGGCGCTGGGCACGGAGTGGGCGTGTCCTCGGGTCCTCTCACTACCCTCTACAGTCAACCCGTATAGGAAGGATGCGCGATAAGGATGCAAGGGCCTTGGGCGCCCATTTCGAAGCTTTTCGAGCGGGACGCGGCAAACGAAAGCGGTCAAGGATGGGCCGAGGAGGCAAGGATGCAAGGGTACCCTTGGGAAGGTTGCCCATCCTTACTATGCGGGTTGACCGTAAGCCTCAGTCCTCACTCCTGAGGTTTTATTCAAGGGTTCGGAGCCCCTCGGCCCAAATCTTCTTGGGTGTGGCGCGTGACCCCAGGGCTCTCCAGAGCCTTGTCGCGTGACTTGTTCGGGCCCAAGTGGGCCCCAAAACGGGCCAAGAGGGCCCCAGAAGTCCCTAGGACTGTCCAAGAGAGTCCCGAATCGCCGAACGATCGCCCCAATACACTCAAGATAGCTCCCCGACGACCCAAGAGGCATCCAAGACGGAGGGCCCCAAGAGGCCAAAATTACTGGTTTGCCTTCGGTGTTTGTAAGATTTGGGTGTTCTCGCCTTTCCAGCTTCCCTACGCTCCCAGACTACCCTAGAGGCCCCAGAGAACGCCCCAAGACGGCCCAAGAGGCCTCCAAGAGGACCCAAAACGGCCCAAGAGGGTCCCAAGACAGCCCAAGACGACCACGAAAGGGGCCCAAAAAGACGAGCCCAAACCGAACATCCGAGCCTTCCGCCCAAAGAGGCCCCCACGAGGCCCCAAGAGGCGCCCAGGAGGCCCCAGAAGGCCCCCAAGAGGCCCCCAGGAGGCCCCTAGAGGCCCCGAAGAGGCCCCAAGGAGGCCCCAAGAGGCCCCCAACAGGCCCCCGAGAGGCCCCCAAGAGACGTCCAAACGGCCTCCAAGGGGCCCGCGAGAAGCCTCCCACGAGATCCCAACGAACATCAAATAGGCTTCATACCCACTGCCCAGGCAAGGTGGAGGGATGGGCCGAAGGCCATTAGATAACGGACGGTGCGGAGTGCTAGCAGCGTGCCGGGAGCTCACATAATCCCCCAGACAGGGTGGGCACGGAAGGAGTGATGTGTTCGCGCAAAGGTGCGAAACATTTCAGCGCTCCAGACACTATTGCTTGTCCCTGCGACCATCATCATCATCATCATCATCATCATCATCATCATCATCATCATCATCATCATCATCATCATCATCATCATCATCATCAGCATCATCATCATCATCATCATCATCATCATCATCATCATCAGCATGAGCATCAGCATCAGCATCAGCATCAGCATCAGCATCATCATCATCATCATCATCATCACCATCATCATCATCATCATCATCATCATCCTCATCATCAGCATCGTCATCATCAGCAGCATCAGCATCAGCATGGGCATCATCATCATCATCATCAGCAGCAGCATCATCATCATCATCATCAACAGCATCAGCATCATCATCAGCTTCATCATCATCATCAGCATGATCAGCATCATCATCATCAGCAGCATCAGCATCATCATCATCATCGTCGTCATCATCATCCTCATCATCATCACCATCATAATCAGCATCAGCAGCAGCAGCATCATCATCATCATCACCATCATCATCATCATTATCATCAGCATCACCATCATCATCATCAGCATCATCCTTAGCATCATCATCATCATCAGCATCATCATCAGCATCAGCATCATCATCATCATCAGCATCATCAGCATCAGCATCATCAACAGCATCATCATCAATCAGCATCATCATAGCATCACCATCAGCATCAGCATCATCATCAGCATCATCAGCATCCGCAGCATCAGCATCATCAGCATAGTCATCACCACGACGACGACGACGACGACGACGACGACGACAGGGACGGCGACAACGACGGCGACAAGGAATGGGCTGGAGCGGCTCCGGGACCCGTGCCAGCTAGTGCTGTACTGGAAGGCGCTCTCCTTGGAGTAGCTGGCCAGGTCGGCCTCGCCGATCAGCAGGTGGGAGGGCTGCTCGAGGAACCTCGCGAGCAACTCTCGAGCGAACGAACGAACGACGGCGGGAGTCGTGCGCGCTCCGCGAGGGAGCCCGCCCGTAGGGCATGCCGTGGAGGCCGTGGCCTCAAAAATATGAGACGTAACTCATGTGAAAGCCACCACTTTGGAGGCCTGGAAATTGGCACCAACACCAACACAGGGGGTTGCCTCCACAGGGGGGAGATGATCCTAGATTTCGGTGCTGGTGGTAATGTTTCGGTCGCTTTGGCAGCCAGAATATGACCACCATCACCGAGATCGGGATCTGCTTCCCTCGGTGGAGGCACACCGCCGATCTTGGGGTGTTGGTGTCAACCTCTGGGCCTGCGAGCTCACTGCTCCCTGCCGCCAGTAGCCAAAAGAAGGCGAGTGGTTGCTAAAGGCTGCCCTGGCCCAAGGTGCCCCCGGCATGTCGCTCGAAGTTGGAGCCCCTGGGCGCCCTGGGCCTCGTGAGGGGTGCTCTGGAGGCCGTGGGGGCCTCCTTGGGAAACCTGGGGGGCACCGTGGGCCAGCGGCACTTCCAGGAACATCCGAGACTTCGAGAGAGAGAGAGAGGAGCAGAACCGAGGTCACTGAAGACCGCATGTCCTCGTTTCGTTCGGCGGTCCCGTCGTTTCCGCCTCCGAGTGGCCAGTCTGAGGCCTCGTGATGGCCCTGAGATGGCCCAACAGAGCCCAGAGAGGCCCCAAACGTTCCCCCAGAGTGCTCGAAGCGCACAACGATCAGTCCAAGAGGGCACCAAGAGGATGGTTCGCGTTTCAAGTGGGCGGACACATGTCATAAGACATGTCTTTCACCAAGCATGGCCTTAAGACAACCCTGATAAAGCCCGATTGATTCCCAAGCTTGCCCGAAGGGACCCGAAAGGTGGCTCGAAAGGGGCTGCGAGAGGACTTCAAATTCGTAATTGTGAGGTGCCGCTTGTTTTGATCAGTCGTTTCCTTTGCCAAGTGTCCTGCAGATTCGCTTCACGAATGCATCCTCCACTGACAGCTCGCCCAAAGATCGGTCCTGAAGAGACCCCCGTCCTCGCCCACATGTCTTCCTGTTTCACTGTCATTCCCCCCTCCCCTCCCCCCCTCTTCCCCCAAACTGTCTCTCCCCGCACCCCCATGCCCCCCTCCTCATGCTTCCCCTCCCCCTGCCACTGCCCCTACCACTCACCCCTCATCCGCCGCCTCGTCACTAGGTTTTCGGGTCATACCTCGGGTCTCTGGCGGCCGTTCGGAACGATCGGGGCACCCCCCGAACGCCCTCGGCGAGGCAGCCGATGGAACGCAGACCGAGGCTGGAGAACTTCTCAGAACTGACGCGACCGAATAAACCCCCCCACCAGCCCCACCCCCCATGCCACCTTCGCCTCTCCTCCTCCTCCTCCTCCTCCTCCTCATCCTCATCCTCCTTCTCCCCCTCCTCCTCTCCCTCCCCCGCCTCCTCCTCTCCCTCCTTCCCCTCTCCGTCACTCCCGCCGCCCCCTCCCCAATCCGAGCACGGCCCCAGCGGACCGAGGGCCTCGCTCCTCAGACGCTCCGCAGCACGAAAAAAACTTTGGCAACACAGCGACCCCGCCACCCGCCCCACCCCCCCCAAATGCCACCTTCCCCTCCCTCTCCATCACTCCCGCCGCAGCAGCAGCAGCAGCAGTATCAGAAGCAGAGGCCCGGTCAAACCAACGGGCTGGCCCGTGAACGGGCGGGGCACGATTTGGAACATCAAAGGCAGTGCGACCTGCATGCATGACAAGAAGGACGTGCACGACGAGTGAGCAAACTCTGCAGAAGAGGATGAGGACGCATTCGTGGAGTACTGCTTCCAGACGTAAGGACGGGCCACTCTTCTCCCTCCCCCCCCCTCCCTCCCGTCCTCCTCCCCTTCCCCCTCCCACCCCCCTCTGCGCAGTGGCGCTCCCGCCGCCCCCTCCCCAATCCGAACACGGCCCCAGCGGACCGAGGGCCTCGCTCCTCAGACGCGCTGCAGCACACACACACACACACAGACACACAGACACACAAACATACACACACACAGACACAAACACACACACACACTCACACACACACACACACACACACACACACACACACACGCACACAGACACACACACACAACACACACACACACCACGCGAGAGCTCCCTGTGCCAGGCCCCTTGGGCCGCGCCGCTCCTCCCGTGAAGACGGCGCTGCCAGGCAGACAACAAAACCAGGTGGAATATTCAAAAACAGTCAAACAAACATTGCCCGGGGACGACTATTTGAGCAGTTGTTGCCTATGTTTCAGCATTGTTTAGGGTATTGATTATTTTCGTCCAAAATCCGCCGGTCGGAGGACAGGCCCTGCCAGGGTTGAAGGCGAGGAAGGGAGCAAAAACAATGTAAACGCCAGGACTCCGGGCAAGACAGGAGGAGTAACACGCTGATGGGCTACCAATGCAGCGGTGGCGTGTCATCGATACCCTTTCTCCCTCCCGAGGAGATGCAGGAAGATCGCATCGGAAACGTTCGAAAGCGGCCCATGCACGACGACGACGCGCACGCGGCAACACGCCCGCCGTGCCTCGGTGACGAGGTCGACCCGCGAGATGCGAAGGCACGGACCGGGGATGCTGCCTGTGACAGCCCGGACGGGTCCCACAGCGCAAGAAGCGCCAGTGAGGTCCCGGCGCCCGCGACGCGCTCACGGCCCTGCCTTTCTGGCACATCGGGCTCTTCAGAGGCCTCGGCCCTGCCTGCCTCGGCTACACGCAGGAGGGACCCCAGGCAAGGGCGACCTCTGGTGCGCGGCTCTCGGGGGGGCGCGGGGGGCGCTAAACCGAACGTGGGCGCGCAGAACGCTGCGGCCGCATCGCGCTCCGCGATCGGGGGAACCCAATCCGCACCGAAGGTCACTCCGTCGAAGGTTCGCTCGTCCGTGCAGCCGACTGCACGCTGCACGGCAGCTCGGAACGGATCGAAGCGAACCCGGCACTCGCCAGCGTCTCATCGGCCGACGTGTCGCCGCAAAGTCGGCCCTCCAGCAGCGCGACGTCGGCTGCTTCGCGCCAGCGCGAAGCCAAGCCTGCCAGCCCGGCGAGTGACGGCCTGCCCGAGAGTGCCGATGGGCGAGCATCGAGTGCCGTCCTGGCCCAGTGGCACTGCACTCCATCCAGTGTCGCGGAGCACTTCGTAGTCAAGACATGGGCTCCGTAGGAGAAAACCGTCCATCGGCGCTGGATGTCGCAATGCGCGTCACGATAGCAGCGAGAAGCCACGGCCATATCATCGCTCTGGAGCCACATGTGTTCTATGCTCTAGTGAAGACTGCACCCTCCGCCAGAGAGTCACGCTGGCCGTCGTGGTTCAAGAGTGGGAGGTGAAGGAAGGGGAGGAGGACGAGGAGGAGGAGGAGGAGGAGGAAGAGTAGCAGGAGTTACAGGATGAAAGGAAGGAGAACGGATGAGAGGGAGACGAAGCGGGATCTGGGCCAGAGCACAGTTCGGCGCCCAGAGTTGCACGCTTCCAGAACAAGCAGCGAAGCAGGAACGGAAGCGCGCAGCGGCCAGGAGCGCGGCAGTTGTAGGATAGCAGCGGCGCTCACCACCACTGAGCCGAGCCTCGGGGAAGGACGCGTGGGCAGAAGAGCGCGCCACTGGCAGCTCGCCGGACGGGTCACAGCACGGGGCGAGAGCACGCGGCGCGCCCGACCTGCGACGCAGGCCGCGGCGCGCATCACAAAGCACGAGGCAGAAGAACGAAGCGCACCACGTCTTCGAGGCGCCGAGGAGCAGGGGAAGACACGAAGAGGAGGAGGAGGAGGAGGAGGAGGAGGAGGACAGCGGCGTTCACCCCAGCGAATCCCAGACCTCCAGCGATTCGATGGGCCGCCAGCCCCAGGAGCTCTCGAAGCCCAGACCTCCAGGAGACCGGTCCTTGTCGCCCCAGGCCGCACAGTTTGAACGGCCCCAGGGGCCCGAACGACGATCAGCGGCGACAGACCTGCGGCGACACGTGCTCGAGCCGCTTCTGCACCCCACTGCGATCTTGGATGCCTCTGGGAGACAAGTCGCCGCCGACCCGAAAAAGAATGTCTCGAGCCCCTTCGGGGACCGATGGGGCAGCTGGTGGCGGCAGCTGTGGCTCCAGGAGTGAAAGCACGGGCGACCAAGGGCCAAGAGCGCAGAGGCTGCGAGGAGAAGTAGGCGGGGAGGGGGGGGAGTACAATCGAACCCTTTGCATCCTTGCCTCCGCGCTCCATCCTTGGCGCACTCGTTGGCCGCGCTCCGCTCACAGAGCTTCGAAATGGCCTTCCAAGGCCCTTCCATACTGATCGCGCATCCTCATGATGCGGGCCGACTGTAGGACGACTGCGACGGAAGCGAGGCCTGCCAGCGCGCGCGCGGGCGGAGGCAGCCAAAGTGTTCTCTGTCAGGGGAGTGGGGGAAAGTGAGAAAGTGGAAAATGTGCGCTCTCCTGCTCAGGAAAAAAGAGAACTGCTTGGGGAGCTCGGGATACCTCGCGGGCGGCCAGAGACGACGAAGGCAATGGTGACAACGAGAACAACCACGACGACCACGACCATAACGACCACGACCACGGCGGCGACCACGACGACGTCGACGACGGCGACGGCGACGACGAGGTGGGTCAACAGTCGACCCATGGACCTGTCCTGCGGTGCCCTCTGACCAGAATCTCGAAAGGAATCCAGCAGTGCCGACCAGGGTCCCTAGAAGGCACCCAAAACCCTCCCCGATCATCGTAGGCAACCCCACAGGAACGACGACAACGATCCGACGACGACGACGACGACAACGACGCCCCGATCCTCGAACCTCGAACGATCGACGACGACCACCACCACGACGACAACGACGACCTTAATGGCGACGACCATAACGACGACGAAAATGACGACGACGACGGGGAGGACGACAAAGACGACGACGACGACGACGACGACGACGGCACTGTAGGAAGAGCTTGGCCACAAACGTGTCGGAGGCGACGCTCTCCGGGCCGAGCCCGAGGATGCCATCTGCCTCCCCGGGGCGCGGCGGTCGAGGCCAGCCCCGAAGCCGTTGACGTCGTTGTCGTCGTCGTCGAGGTTCGAGGCTGGAATGTCGAGGTTCGAGGTTCGAGGTCGAGATTCGAGGTTCGAGGTTCGAGTATCGAGGGGGGTTTCAGGTGCCTCCGATGGGCCCTGGAGCGCCCCGGTCGGCACTGCTGGACTCCTCTCGACATTCTGGTCGGATGGCACCGCAGGACAGGTCCGTGGTTCGACTTTTGGCCCTCCTCGTCGTCGTCGTCGTCGTCGTCGTCGTCGTCGTCGTCGTCGTCGTCGTCGTCGTCGTCATGTCGTCGTCATCGTCGTCGTAGTCGTCGTCGTAGTCGTTGTCGCCGTGGACGTGGTCATCGTGGCTATCCTCGTCGTCGACGCCGTCGAGGATCGAGGTTCTAGGTTCGAGGATCGAGGTTCGAGATTCGGGGTTCCAGGTTCGAGGTCCAGAGGATCGGGGTTCGAAGAGCGAGGTGCTTGGGCGTTGTGCTGCCCCCTTCTGGGCCACCGGAGGGCCCGACGATGCCGTCGACCTCCCGGGGGCGCGGCGGCTGCGGCCCGATCCCCGCAGCCGTCGCCGCCGCCGAGGCTCGAGGCTGGAGGAGTAGAGGCTCGAGTTTTTGTCGGCGCGGGTTCGCGTCGTGACGACCCCGGCGCTGGCACCGCGTGGATCGCTCAACCCTGGAACGCTTCGTGGCCTGTCGATCACGCGATCGTTCCACATTGGCCGATCCTGGGCGCCACGGGCGGCGTTCCAACCTTGGACGCCCTGGGCGGGGTCGCCACCGCATCGACTCAGCGCGAACCTGCCGTCGAGGGTCGAGGTTCGAAGGTCGAGGGGAATTGGACGCTGTTGTGACCAGCTTTTATAGGGCACGGGCGGGAGAGGCACGGTCGGGACTCAGGTCTTCAACAGCATCACGGCCGCAGGAGGCTCTTCGCAGTGTGCCCCCGGAAGGCTGAGGCATGGCGCCGACGTGTTCAGAAGCGGCAGCGAGATCCCAGAGACCAGAGCAGAATCCCGAGCGGTGTGTCGCTGTTGCGCGGCGGCATGTACCAGCTAGAATTAGGAGCGCTGGAGTGAGCCAGCCTCATGTTGGCACGCCCGAGAATATGCACAGAAACAAGTGGCACGATGCCCAACGGCAAATGAGGTCCAAACGACAGCGGCCGCTGTTGGGCAGGCGATGTTTGTCTCAAATGGACATCAACCTGCGGTGACACCGAGAGCGAACCCTGGCTGCTGTCTGTCTGCAGTAGCATTATTCCTGGACCCGTTTCGATCCTCCATACTCGTGCGCTGGCAGATCCAGCGAAGTGACACGCACACACACACACACACACACACACGTTTCCTCCGACGCGCCAGGGCGGCAAAAAGAACGACGAGGCGGAGCCCGGCACAGGGGGAAGCCAGGAGAAGCGACGCCTGCACGATGAGGCAGGCACGAAGCGCGAACTCTGCGGACGGCGAGGGCAGATCGCAAGAGCAACAGCAGGCCAAGCCGAAAAAACGTAAGATCTGCAGCGGCGAACGTGCGCGACAGGGCGCGGCACATACACGCACACGCACACGCACACGCACACACACACACACACACACACACAACACACACACATACACGTTGTTGGCGGTCGCGGCCTCCCGCGCAACGTCGAGGCGAAGAAAGGTCAGTGCAGCGACACACAAACACACAGTTGGTTTGGCGTCGCGGTCACGCGCGCGGAGGCGCGGCGTGGAACGTTCGGGGCACACTCACACACACACACACACACACACCCGCACACACACACACACACACACACACACACACACACACACACACACACACACACACACACACACACACACACACACACACACACACACACACACACACACACACACACACACACACACACACACACACGCACGCACGCACGCACGCACGCACCACACACACACACACACACACACACGCACACATACACACATTTACACACACACACACTCACACACACACACACGCAATCACACACACACACACACGCACGCACACACACACACACACACACACACACACACACACACACACACACGCACACTCACACACGTTGTCCTCATCCAGCGATGTGAGTCACGAGCGCGCGGTACGCTAACGGAGTGCGCCAAACCGCAGACGCCCTTTACTTTCCGACGAAGTGATGGCGGCAACAGGCGGGTGACGTATAAGCAGAAACGTAACACTACTCGCATACAACCACACACAGATTCCCCGCCCCCCCCCTCCTCCTCCTCCTCCTCCCCCTCGTACTCCTCCTGCCTCCGCCACTCCTTCCCTCCCCCTCACCCTCCTCCCTCCGACTACCCAGGCCTTGAGATGGGTGTCCGTCTCGCCCATGGTGTCCACCAGTATCATTGTCTGGTGGGTCACCTGCAGGTCGCCTATCGGGGGCGGCCAAGAGGGGGGTGTCCAAGAGGGGGGGGGGTGCAAATCATGGCCGGCGGCATGTGCGCGGCCCAAGGGAGGGGGGCCAGGGACGCAATGAAAGAAGAAGAGGCGCCATGAACTCTGTGGAAAAATCATGGCCCGCGCCAAGAAATCCCCCCCCCCAGTCATCACCCCCCTCTTTGCCGCCCCCGAGCCCAGCCGAACGCTGTCCACCAGGGTCCCCCCGGTCACAAAGGTGCCGTCGCGGTACCCGAACGAGTACCGCTTCCCGGGCTGCTCGGCGGAGCACGACTGGGCGACCTCTGCACGGGGGGGGAGCGCAGCCGCGGCAGCGCGGGCGCCTCGCCCGCCCTGGCAAGTGCCCCGCCAGGTCGGCCCGCACCCTCTCGAGCCTCGGCGGCGGCCAGCCCAGGGGGGGGGGGGAGCGTGAGAAGGAGCTGGCCTTCTCAGAAGGCTCGGGTGAACAGTTCGAAGCCTTCTCCGGAGACGCAGGCCACTCCTCAGAAGGCGCGAGGGCTTCCAAGAAGCCCCGCCGCCTTCTGAGAAGACCTGCTCCTTCTCACTGGCCCACCTGGGCGCGCCGCCGAAACGGGTGTCCTGAGGGAAACGGGCCATGGGAACCCCTTGGGGGCTTTCCCCAGGACCGGCGTTTCCTCCTGAATCGCTGCGGATTTCCCTGGGGCCCAGGCGAGGCCCACAGAGGCGAGAGGCGGCGAAAGACCTCTGGTCAACGTTGTCCTATTCGGCGTGTCGACATTGGGGGGAAGAGAGGGGGGCGCATGGGGAGGGGTCTGGCTCCGGACCCCTGCTGAGTGCGACGGTTTGCAGCAGCGCGTCCCATTGGGGGGCGGCCTCCGACTGCCCGAAGCAGGCGCCGAAAACGGCCAAGGTCTGCTTCATCGGGGGGGGGAAGGGGGGGAGGGCCCGCGCCGATCGGCACAGCAGAGAGTAAGAGAACGGCCTCCCAGACCCTCTCCAGGTAGATGGACAATAGATTCGAGCCCTTACACACTCGAGGGAGACTCTGAATCACCCGCACGCCCCCGACATCAATGTTGATCTCAGGAAAGGCGGTGCTGTGGGGTTCGAATAGTTCTGTCCTCTCACGCCCACCCCGTCGCCACGCCCTCAATATTGATTTCGGGGGGTCTGGGGGGCATCTTGGGCCACAGGGTTCGCATACAGTCGGGGCGTTGACCTAAGGAACCCTAAATTCGCCGGCCCAACGGGCCAGAGGCGTGCTAAGATCTCCGGTGACTGCTTTACAATCTTTCTACTTCGCGCGCGCGGGGCGGCCCCTGGGGGCCCCCGGGCGGAAAGTACCCCGGCAAGGTCCCGAGAGAGTCCCGGGAGGAGTCACCAGGGCGCTCCAGCAGCGCACCAACGCGGCTCCGAGACGTCCCCGAGAGCCCCAAGAAGGGCCAAGAGGCTTCCAAGAGGCCCCCAAGATGCTACATGAGGGGTCCGAGATGCCACAAGATCGCTCCAAGACGCCCACGATGGCCCCCAGACGCCCCAAGAGGCCTCCAAGAGCACTCCCGAGAGGGCCCCAAGAGGCAAAATTCACTGCTTTTCCTTAGGTTTTGGAGAGATTTTGGCGTTTCCACCTTTTCGGCTTCACGACACCCCAAGACGGCCCAAGAGGCCCCCAAGACCGCCCCAAGAGGGCCCAAGAGGCCCCCAAGAGGGCCCCAAGACGGCCCAAGAGGCCTCCAAGACGGCCCAAGAGGCCTCCAAGACGGCCCAAGAGGGCCCCAAGAACGCCCCAAGAGGGACCCCAGGGGGGAACACGAAACAAGAAGTCCCCAGGAGGCCCCAAGAGGCCCCTAAGAGGCCCCAAGAGGCCCCCAACAGGCCCTCAGGAGGCCCCGAAGAGGCCCCCAAGCGGCCCCAGGAGGCCACCCAAATGCCCCCCCGAGCACGCAAGCAAGTGCCAGCGACGCTACACTATGGGCCGGCGGAATGAGCGAAGCGATTCAATAAGGAACGAGGCCCCTTTTTTCCATAAGTTAAACTTCGATTCCCGATCGAAAATATTAGGAACACTTGAGGCAAGCTGCGAAACACGTAAGGAACGCGGAGCCCCTGCCCAACGAAAAGGGTTCCTTCTTCAGGGCCCTGCCAAGCGAGCGATGCCAAGCTCACCGAGAAAGGCCCTGGCCAGGCCTCGCAGCACGCGGCAGCACCTGCCCTCGGCGCTGCCCTGGTCTGCGGCCCCTCGGCTCGGGCGGCGCTCCCGAGCGGCGGGCGGGGCGCCCCCGAGGCGAGCCGAGGCGCCGAAGCGGGCGCGGCGAGGGGCGGAGGGGGCGCGGGGGGGGAGGGGGAGGGGACCGCGCTCGGGACCCGCAGCCCTCGCGCGCCTGCCCCGCAGGGGCAGCGTGCAGAGGCGCCCCCCCCCCCCCCGAGCCGAGGTGCATCCTGTTGGGCGTTTGGCGGGGGGGGGAGGAGAGGGAGGAGGGAGGATGAGGGGAGGAGGAGGAGGAGGAGAGGAGGAGGAGGAGGGAGGAGGAGGAGGAGGAGGAGGAGGGGAGGAGGAGGAGGAGGAGGAGGACGAAGAAGAGGAGGAGGAGGAGGGACCCCCTCCCCCTCCAACTTCTGATGGTGGTGGGTGGTGGAAAACAGGCCAATCACTTCCTGCAGGGGAGGCCCCCCAGGGTGCCGGCTGCGAGTGCCCGCGAGCCGCAGGAGCAAAGAGAAGTCGGCACCACCACCAGCACCGCGAGGAGGCCGGGGAGGGGGGGGGCCTCCACAATGAGCTGGTCCGCCTGTCTTCGGGCACCCCGCTTGAGACATCTCCGATGTCCGAGGCGTCGTACAGTGAACGGAAAGCAAGGCTCTGGAGGCGCCGCCAGGGTGGCTCCGGCGCAGGTCCATGAGATCCGCGCGGACCGTCGAAAATTTATGGTTATGCTATGTGTTCATCTTCGATCGTAGGCGATCGACGTTCTATCCGTAACCCTGCTGACGCCCCAGCCCCGCGAGTGGCCAGAGTTATAGGGCATGAATAGAAACCTGCCGGCTCCCCTGAGGTGCGAACGGCTGTGAGGTCTTCTGTTGGACTGATGCCTTGCGTCATTCGCGTGGTTATGATATACTGGAAAATCCTGGGCAGCAAAAATGACATGTCTCCCCCTCAAATTCCTGGCAACTCCAGGTTGCTCCAGGTTGCGCCGAAGATGATGTCTCTGAGATAGCCCAGGAGGGTCCCAAAATGCCCCCCGAGGATGCGACATGTTGAAGAACACGCTGTATTCAATGTGTTTCCGCGCGCGGTCCCATATTTTGCTCCTAAGATGAACGGGAGATCGGATCAAGGTGGTCCACAGAGCCCCCGAGATTGCCCAAGACGGTCCCCGGGGGCCCCAACGGGTTCCGAGGTGCCACCCACGCTGCCCAGGCTGGCCCGACAGTGCCTCAGGGTGCTCTCAGAATGTGCCCCGAAGACTGCCAGATGCCCCGAGCAGGAGGAGGAGGAGAAGGAGGAGGAGGGGGAGGAGGGGGAGGAGAGGGAGGAGGAGGAGGAGGAGGAGGAGGAGGAGGAGGAGGAGGAGGGCACGATGGCCAGGGCTGCTCCAAAACGTGACCGCACAGGACACGGCTCCGCCATTTTGGGGGAGGCCGGCGGCCGAGGGGGCAGGGCCTCTGGAGGCCAAGCTTTTCGAGAAGGGGATCGACTACGTAGAGGAGTGTTTCCCAAAATTGGGCTTCTCGTCGAGGTAACGATAAGATACGTGGCATGGTCTACGAGCCTTGTGCGTACTCTCGTACACTCGGCGAGAAGATCCATGTTGGGGCAAACCGATTCTGTGGCCGATGCCTTACTGGAGCTTTGCTGTCCATGCCCCAGCCCCTCGGCGTCCAGAGATGGGCGCAGCGTGATGACGGACGAAGAGCACACACCCATACCCACAGGAAGGTCGGGTGGCAGAAAAAATAATTGTAGTCGCCGTCGTGTTCGTCAAAGGAATCGTCGTTGTCGTCCGCAGCGTCGGGGTCGCCGTCTGAATCGTCGTCGTCGACAGCGTCGTCGTCGTCAGCGTCTCCGTGATCGTCGTCATCGGAATCGTCGTCGTGCTCCTCCTCCTCCTCCTCCTCCCCCTCCTCCTCGTCCTCCTTTTTTGTTGCCCTGGACACGGCCCCCTGCATTTGAGCCCGCAGTGCCTGCGCACGCCACAGCGACTATGAACACCGCAACGTTTTTGTACTGCACAACGCCCGTGTGCACATTCAATGCCCGTATACACCACTCAGCGCAGGCAACTGCGAGCGCCGCGCTCCGACCGCCGCGCCAATGCCTCTCAGCAACAGAACAACACTGCGTCCCTGAGAGCACCACCCGGCACGCACGCAAGCGCCGCTTTCCCTCGCGAGTGCCACAGCGTCCCTGTGAGTACAACAACATGCCTCTGAACACCACAGTAGCCTGCGAGCGCCACAGGACGGCCGCGGTCGCCACCAGACGACCGCCGCGACGTGACTACAGGGGGGGGCGGGGCCGGTCACGAGCGTGATCGCCGGGGGCCTTTCCGAACGGGCGCTAAAAGTGGAGGACGCGTCGAAAGTGGCGGACGTGTCTATGAGAACGCTACTCGTTGACCAAGCATGCGAGTTCTTGTCAAGACGCTGATCGATGCTCAAAGATACCCACCTCCTGTCGGAACGCTCCTCGCTGGCCTTTCGGAACCCTGCACCGACCACCGCTCAGATAGGGAAAGAGAGGGGAGGCGGGGCCGGGGGGGCGCAGGATGGGACGAGGACAGCTGCACACCCGCCTGGGCCAGCCCAGGAGCCAGGACCCAGCACCTGGGACGGCGTGGGCGCCGACCTCGGGCCCGGGGCTGGCCCCGGCCGAAGGCAGCGTCGGCGTCCACGCCGCCGAGCAGGGCGAGGAGGAGCGGCCGGGCAGAGCGGCCTCGAACTTGGTCGCCTCCTTGTGGCAATTGCTGCAGTTGGCCGAGGAGAACCAGAGGTCCGAGCTGCCCGTGTCGGGCAGCACCTGCGGGGCAGGGGGAGGCAGGAGGCGCCGTGGCCAGCTGCGCGCATCAGCACGCTGCGACGACCAGAACGACACATGCGATCGGTCCGTCCTGAATCATACGTAACTATATATATATACATATATACACACACGTAGATATACAAGTAGCGCGTGCGTGCCGAGGCTCATACAAACACATGTGCTGGATGTGTGTTTGGGTAGTGTGTAAGGTGTGTGTGTGTATGTGTTGTGTTGTGTGTTGAGTGTGTGTGTGCTGTGTGTTGTGGATTGAGTGTTATGTGCGAGTTGTGCGTGGATCATGTGCGCCCTGCTTGCAATGTTGACTAGGTTTGCTGTGTGTACGATGTGTGTTGCTTGTGTTTGTTTTCGTGTGTGTGTGTGAAGTGTTGTGTGCGTGTGTGCGTGTGTGTGTGTGCGTGCTATGTGTTGTAGGTATTGTGTGTTCCGTGTGTGCAATTTGTGGTGCGATTGCTCGCTTTGTGAATACTCTCGCTCTGTGAATACTATGTGTGTATATGTGTGTGTGTGTGTTCGTTCGTTCCCCGCTGGAAGAGAGGACACCATGTCCGCACACCAAGGCTCCAGCCAAGCCGACCTTGAGCAACCTCGTAATTGAGTCGAAGGGAAGCCCCTTCCCTTTGATCCCTCCCCCGCCGGGAGGGGGGGGGGGTGTCGACCCCCCCCGGGTCAGATACGACGCCCCCCCCTGGGACTCCTCTTCCCCTGGGCTCCAGCCAAGCCGACCTTGAGCAACCTCGTAATTGAGTCGAAGGGAAGCCCCTTCCCTTTGATCCCTCCCCCGCCGGGAGGGGGGGGGGGGTGTCGACCCCCCCCCCGGGTCAGATACGACGCCCCCCCCTGGGACTCCTCTTCCCCTGGGCTCCAGCCAAGCCGACCTTGAGCAACCTCGTAATTGAGTCGAAGGGAAGCCCCTTCCCTTTGATCCCTCCCCCGCCGGGAAGGGGGGGGGGTAGCGACCCCCCCCCCGGGTCAGATACGACGCCCCCCCCTGGGACTCCTCTTCCCCTGGGCTCCAGCCAAGCCGACCTTGAGCAACCTCGTAATTAGCAACCCCTTCCTTGATCCCCCCCCGCCGAGGGGGGGGGGGTGTCGACCCCCCCCCCGGTTCAGATACGACTCCCCCCCCCACTCCTCTTCCCCTGGTCTCCACCAAGCCCTTGAGCAACCCCTGGCTCCAGCCAAGCCGACCTGAGCAACCTCGTAATTGAGTCGAAGGAAGCCCCTTCCCTTTGATCCCCCCCCGGCCGGGAGGGGGGGGGGTGGGGTCGTCCCCCCCCCCGGTCAGATACGACGCCCCCCCCCCTGGGACTCCTCTTCCCCTGGGCTCCAGCCAAGCCGACCTTGAGCAACCTCGTAATTGAGTCGAAGGGAAGCCCCTTCCCTTTGATCCCTCCCCCGCCGGGAGGGGGGGGGGGGTAGCGACCCCCCCCCCGGGTCAGATACGACGCCCCCCCCTGGGACTCCTCTTCCCCTGGGCTCCAGCCAAGCCGACCTTGAGCTCCGCCGACCCTGTCGGCGTGTGTGAGGGGCTTTTCCGTTCGAGCCGTCATCTCCGTCATTCTTTGTACTCGTCGTCTCTGTCCTTCCCTTTCCCTGGGAGACCTCTTCCCCTGGGCTCCAGCCAAGCCGACCTTGAGCAACCTCGTCTTGATCAACCTCGTAAATGAGTCGAAGGGAAGAGCAGCCCCTTCCCTTTTGAACCCTTCCCCGGCGGGAGGGGTGGGGGGGCGACCCCCCCCCCGGGTCAGATACGACGCCCCCCCCTGGACTTGGGACGTAAATCCTCTTCCCCTGGGCTCCAGCCAAGCCGACCTTGGAGCAACCTCGTAATTGAGTCGAAGGAAGCCCCTTCCCTTTGACCCCTCCCTGAGGGGGGGTGGGTGTCGACCCCCCCCCGGTCAGATACTACGCCCCCCCCTGGGAGACCTCTTCCCCTGGGCTCCAGCCAAGCCGACTTGAGCAACCTCGTAATTGAATCGAAGGGAAGCCCCTTCCCTTAGATCCTCCCCCGCCGGGAGGGGGGGGGGGGTAGCGACCCCCCCCCCGGGTCAGATACGACGCCCCCCCCTGGGACTCCTCTTCCCCTGGGCTCCAGCCAAGCCGACCTTGAGCAACCTCGTAATCTCTTGCTGCGCATTGCGAACAGGGTCGGCGGCACCGGCCGTCAGGCCTTCGCAATATTATGTGTGTATATGTGTGTGTGTGTGTTCGTTCGTTCCCCGCTGGAAGAGAGGACACCATGTCCGCACACCAACTCGAGTCAGCCGCACGCCACGCAAGCAATGCTGGCGGCGGTGACCGAGGGGGCAGTACGTAAGTGGGGCACGGTGCACAGTGCAGCCTTTCAGCACCGACACTCACCCGATCGCACGCTGCTCTAAAGTGGAGGAGGAAGAAGAGGCGGAGGAAAGGGGGGTCGGCAGCATGCTGGCCAACATGGGCGGATTGAAAGCAAAGCCCCTTGGGACAAAACAATGCAGCCAAATAACATGCTCTACCCCCAGACCCGGGTACATTGAGGAGGGAGGAGGAGGGAAGAGGAGGGAAGGAGGAGGATGATGAGACGGGGAGGAACAAAAACAAGGAACACCGTCAAGGCGTGATCGCAAGCACCATCGAGTGAAACACTGCGTCCTTATCATACCGCTTGTCAGAATTGCGATGCTCCCACACTCAGTCTCATTCCTTCAGCGCTGTTGCACAGGCACGGTGGCGGGGTTTGCCGCAGGCAGCTGGATACAGTTGGCCAGGGAGACATATGATGGCCGCAGGATTGGCCAGGCCAGCATCGGTGTAGGTGTGTAGCTGGCGCCCACCGAAAGATGAACAACAGCGCGACGGCATCCGAGCCGTCCCAGTCCAACTCACGATTCGATGCTGCTCGACTGGGGTTACGGCAAGTTCAGATTACAATGGCGTGAGCGCTGGCTTCTGAAACTGCGTGGGTCGTTTCAATTTAAACGATCGTTGCTTTCCGATAGCGCAAATCGATCGATACTGGACGACTCACGGCCACTGGGGCCGTTCGACCTCTGAACGGCCGCGCTGGGATCGACGCTGCGTCAACACGGCGTGAAACTACCGAGCTCCTTGGTTACCCAGCGAGCCTCCAGCATCTGGCCCCTCGCACTGCCACCCGAGGAGTTGCACGGCTGACCGACGAAGATCTGCAGCCTGTACTGCACGTTGTCGTCTGTTTCCAGCTGCACCTGGGGAACGAGTCGGGGCATGGAGAGGAGGGGAATGCCCTGACCCCTCGCGTTGATAAACAAATCGCGACGGCAAAATGTTGCAAATGTGGAGGCCCTGGCTGGCTGCCGGGAACGTCAAAAACAGCTCGGAATCCGCCGACCTCCGCTACCCAGGGGTGATGAGCCGTGTGCCATGATTGGCTGTTCCTCAAATGATCCACCGATCCGGGGCTCCAAACTCCTGTTTGAGGGAGGTCGGGGGGACCTCTGAACTCGTCAACGTCCTTTCTGGGCCCCAGAGACTCTCAACATTGCAAATGCGGTCGAGAGTGGCCCCATATTGCCCACACGGGCAAGATGACCAAAGCTGGACCAAGATGCCTTCCGACATGTCTCCAAGAGGTTCTCACACGGCCCAGAGGGGCATCTATGCGACCATTGAGCTTCCCAGGGATGCCACGAGACGTCGAAATGAGGTCCCTGCGAGGCACCACACGAGGCCCTAAGGCCCCCAAGAGGCTCCACAGGGACCCCAAAAGGGCCCTAAGAGGCCTCCCAAGAGTCCCCAAGAGGCCCCTGAGAGGCATCCCCAGAGACCCCAAGAGGCATGCAAGAGGCATGTGCCACAACCAAGTCGTGGCGGCCTTAGCCGAAGGCAAATCGACAGTAACCAATGGGAAAAAGGCGGAGGCCTTGCTCATCGAACCTCCGTTGCACCATGCTTTCCTCAAAGTAGTCGGCCTGATGGTTGTTCAAGTGAAAAGCTCAGCAAGAAGGAACAACAGCTCCGGCTGAACAGTAAGAACAGTAATTTGAACTGCCACCCCTTCTGCCTCTTCCTCTTCCTCCTTCTCCTCCTCCTCCCCCCTCCTCCTCCTCCACCTCCTCCTCCTCGTCCTCCTCCTCCTCCTCTTCCTCCTCCTCCTCATCATCATCATCGTCATCATCAGCATCAGCATCAACATCAACATAGCATCAGCATCATCATCAGCATCATCATCATCACCATCATGATCAGCATCAGCATCGTCATCATCAGCATTAGCATCATCAGCTCCCCCGCTCCGTCTCACAGATTCCCCATCCCCATCTCACTCCAATTCGCCTCATCTCTTCCTTCTCCCCCCCTGCTCCCCCCTCCTATCCCTGCTCGTCCTCATCCTCCTGCCCCTGCCCCTTCTCCCCCTTCGCCTCCTCCTCCTCCTCCTCCTTTTCCTCCTCCTCCTCCCCATCCTCAACCTAATCCTCACCCTCTCCTATCCTTCCCCTTTCCATCACCTCATCATCCTTATCGTGTCCTGCTCTGCTCCAATCCCCCTCCCCTCCCGCTGCCATCCCCCCCCCTTCCCGGGTTCCTCCCCTGTCGAACTTCTCCCTCACACCTGTGCCCCCCGGTCTCCCGCCCCCCCCCCCCCCCGTCGCACTTCCCCGTGCCATCCCCCCGGGCGGACTCTCCCCGCTCGTCCGCCCTCCCCCTCAGCCTCACAGTTTTTCTCTGCTGAAGGCTTGCCCGCCGACGCAGCCTCTCTGATGGCGTCGGAGGCAGAGTCGCCGAACAGCCTGCGCGAAGCACTCGAGGTCCTCATCGCGGGAAGGCGTCCCAAAGCCGACACAACGCACTCCACTGCCGCTGCCATCGCCATTATCCCTCCCATCCGCCACCCGCTCCCCCTCCATATCCTCAACAAACCCCGTCGCAACACCATCAGCATCATCATCATCATCATCATCATCATCAGCAGCAGCATCATCATCATCATCATCAGCAGCAGCATGAGCATCAACAGTATCAGCGTCACCATCATGATCATCATCATCATCAGCATCATCATCATCATCATCATCATCATCATCATCATCATCATCATCATCATCGTCATCATCAGCATCAGCATCAACATCAACATAGCATCAGCATCATCATCAGCATCATCATCATCACCATCATCATCAGCATCATCATCGTCATCATCATCAGCATTAGCATCATCATCAGGATCACCAGCAGCATCGTCATCATCACAACCATCACCACCACCACTACCACCATTATCGTCAACAACCTATTCCTCGTCATACCTGTGTCACCCTCCCTTGTTCTCATTCACTCTTATGCGGAAAACGAGCGCGCCTCGGCCCCCAGCAGCTCCACCCCCCCTCCGGGTGGCCAGAACCGAAAGTACGTGACGGAGACAGGTGCGCCCGACAAGTGACATCCACGTCAGCGCCTCCAAATCCTTGGAAAAAAAACCCAGGAAACGAGCCAGCAGCGGAGGGAGATGAGGCCTCGAAACGCCTGACAAGTGGGAGAACGGGGAGGAAGAAGAATCCGCCGACCCAATCGGCGTGTGACAAGGACGGTTCCGTCGCCATCGCCGTCGCTGCCGCCGTCGCGTCGCCGCCGCCATCACGTCCCCTCTTTCCCCTGAGTCCGTCGCCGCTCCCTTCCTTTCCTTGGCCCTTCGTCCACAAGCACGCCAGCCAAAGCGAAATACACCAGCCCAGCCCGTCCACAGCGAAATTCAGCAACGTTGTCATTGAGTCGAAAGGAAGCCCCTTCCCTTTGATCCCTTCCCCGCGGAGGGGGGGGGGTTAGGCCAGGAGGTCCGGCCAGGGGGTCCCGGGGGGGGGTCCTGGGGGGAGTCCCGGGGGGGGGTCCTTGGGGGGGGGGTCCCAGGGGGTGGTCCTGGGTCAGAATACCACCCTCCCGGGGCGTGTCGGGAGCGCCCTCTCCCTCCCATTTCCGTCAAGGGCCGAGGACTCCAGGGTCGGCGGCACCGGTCGTAAGGCCTAGAGAAATACTTCCAATGATAATGGTAACACTAATAAGAATACAAAGACAAAAAAGAAGAAGAAGAACGAACGACACCAGAAACAAAACAAAAACAAAGTAATACGAAGAAGGCAACTAAAAAGGGGAACAAGGTGCAGAAGACGATCATCCGGCGGCGACGACAACTCTGACAGAAATGACGACAGACGGGGGACGAGGCGAAAGGGCAAGGGGTGAGGGGAAGGGAGGAAAGAGGTAGGGAGGAGGTAGAAGCGAGCAACGAGGAGACAGGAGGCCAGAGGTGGCTGGGAGGGGTGAGCAAGGAGGGGGGAAGGAGCGAGGTGGGAGGGCGGCGAGGTTCCCCCCCTCACAGAACCCTCCTTGCACCCTCCTCCTCATCACTCAGTCCTCCTCGTTGTCCACCTCTTCCTTCCCCTCCTCCACCTCCGGATGGTCCTTCTCCCTCCTAAGAAGACGAGAACACACGTAATCACCTTCATTGTTCTCCCATCCGCGCATGTGTGCTAGACAACATTTGTCCGTAGTCCCTGCGTCTTCCCCTCTCCTGTTCCTTCCCCTCCCGCCTGGACATCCCGCCTCTTCCTCATTATCCTCCTCCTCCCCCTTCTCCTCCTACTACTCCTCCTCCTTCTTCTCCTCCTCCTCCTCCTCCTTCTCCTCCTCCTCCTCCTCCTCCTCCATCGCGCTCCCCGCTGTGTAATTCCACCCTGTCGCACGACCAACCAAACGAGTCGTCATCACCGTCGGCGGTCTTGAAGCTTGACAAGCCCGCTAGCTACACGGGTGGAGACGGGCAGTGTTCAAAATGGGGCGGGCTCTCGCGCTGGCGACGCGCACACTCTAACAACAACAACAACAACAACAACAACAACAACAACAACAACAACAACAACAACAACAACAACAACAACAACAACAACAGCAACAGCAACAGCAACAGCAACAGCAACAACAACAACCAACAACCAACAACCAACAACCAACAACCAACAACCAACAACCAACAACCAACAGCCAACAACCAACAACCACAGCAACAGCAACAACAACAACAACAACAACAACAGCAACAGCAACAACAACAACAGCAGCAATGACAACAACAACAACAACAACAACAACAACAACACCACCACCACCAACAACAACAACAACAACAACACCAACAACCACAATCACAACCACGGCAGCAACAACAGCAACAGCAACAACAACAACAACAACAACAACAGCAACAGCAGCAGCGGCTACAACAACAACAACAACAACAACAACAACAACAACAATCATTTTACCCGAACGCTCAGTGTTCTCCCCAGTGCCAGGGTTTTCATGCGACGCCAGCCAATACCCCCACTTCGTGGGGGGGCAATGCAAGCTCTACCAAACATCCACTCGACTCTCGGGAACCACCCACACCCAGCTTCCCGCCCTATGACGTCAGGACACTTCACTTCGTGGCGCGCGGACGATCGTGGATACTACACTGGCGTGGAGTACACACCCGCAGGGGTTCTTGTTTGGGCCCCGCATGTGCCCCGCATCGTGCATTCGTTGCGCATGGTATTATTTGACAGGGATGATGGCCCTGGCAGGTGCGCAACCGTTGTCGCAGAAGTTCGAAAAAGTTGCTCGCAAAAGCCCGTTTGACAGAATTGTTTAAAAAGTGTTGGTTTTCCTACGAATCCGCAAGAGCGCGCGGAAGGAAATTTTGACAATTTTTTCTTAAAAAACCATTGGGTTTTTGATGTTTTTATGTTAAAATCGCTACGAAACCTAAGGTTTTGGAAGGATTTCGTCTTGCGCGCACGAATGTCCACATTACCTTATTTTTTGCAAGGGATTCTTGCAATTTGATCAAGTAAGAACAAGAATTTTCATTTTATAGTGTTTTTTGCAAGGGAAAACGGATTACAACAAAACAACCGGATCCGGTGACAATCCACTTATCTGAAGCTTTCGCTAGAAAATGAAGGAAATGAGGCTGCGGCCTAGGTTTTGGAGGGGGGTCGCGCACCAGGGGTCTCAACAATAATATTTCTTTAGAAGTAATAATATTCAACAACAA